TGTAGATGATAAAACACCTCAGAGCCAGTATGGCTGCTAAATGACTGATTAGCAGTGCTTGGTAGCCGCGTTAGCTCACAATATACCTTTCAAAATAACACTTTGGAGCCCAAGAGACATCAAAATGTTACAAGGAAAGGCTGGTGTTATTCTATATTTTTACTACTGTCATTAATTCACATGTGCAACTAAACCCAAAGTAAGAGTGACTGTATGTATCTACTAACACAGCGGTTCCCAACTGGTCCAGATTTCTCCTTAGTCATTAGTTCAAGGTCCACACACTTAAATATGTTCAGTGTCATACTTGCATTTGGCCATGTCCTTGGCCTAGTTTGCTGTCTCTGTTAAGCTGCTGTTTGTTAGTCACTGACTCTACAGCAGGAAACAGCACTTCAAAATAAAAGCTCTGTGCCAAAAATTCACTGTACTTCAGAATAAGGTGTGTTTTTTACAAACTTGACACATTTGCGAGTCACTCATTCAGAACAAACCCGAGGCCCACTTTTGGACCACGACCCACCAGTTGTGAAACACTGTACTAATAGGTATTGTGTGTGTCTAAGCCTGATACATCTTCTTCCTCTGTGCCAAGGAGCCATGTTCCTTCATCACCATGAACACACCGTAGTTTGTGTTGTGTCGTCCGGCCGTCCTCAGGACTTATTAGATCAGTGGTTCTCAACCTTTATCGTGACAGGGAGCCCTAAATTCATGAGGGTCAAAGACCCCCATTTGGTAAGATTTGTCTTCAGAGAGCTCCATCTGAAAAGATTTTGGTTGTCAGATATGATTAAAACCAAAATTCTACAGTTGAGGAGATGACTGTGGAGGAAATGAGACCTATGATCATAACAGTCCCTCTCATGACTCTTACTCACACTGGGCTCACTTCTACCATAAATTCAAGAAGTGACCATAAACTATTAACCATTTTTATGGGAAGCCCCTTAAGTCCCCAACAAATGCATCATTTCCTCCTGTTTGCAAAGGATATTGAATGTTTACTTAGAAATTTACAGAGACCGGCTGTTTTAGGAAATAACTGAGTCTCATTAAGAAATGAAACTCTGTATTTGCACACACTTTATAAAGCTATACATGAGGGATTTTTTGACAAAAACAAGAATATAGGAAAAGGCTGATCTTACAGAAAGCACAAGCAAATTAGAAGAAAAATGTCTCCACTTTGATAACACGTCGTGTTCAAGCGCTGCAAATATGTAATGCACAAGAAAATTTTGTAAGACATTCACCAGAATGAATATATAAAGAAACACGCTGGTCACACATTACACACAACAACCGGACTAAGTTACAACACTAATGCTGTGTTCATGTCATATCTGAGTTAATTAAAAGTTTCTGCCCTGGATACAGCCTTCATGTCAACATCTAATAATCACAACAGGGACACTTTGACTTTTCTGATATATCGGTGCTTCAGAACAACAAAGTCCATCGTTCATTGTAATGAAATACAAATTTAATACCGTGCACCATATCTATTAAATTTGTAATGAAATACAAATTTAATAGATATGGTGCACGGTATTTTTAACCCTTACATGACCAGCTCTATAATCATATAACCATCTTAAGTTGTCTGATGACATGATTGCTCGTAACACAATCCAAACCCATCCATCCCATAGGACATGACTGCAGCATTGTAACAGATGAGCATGCTAGTATGCTAATGCTATGCGTCTTCAATGATACTGGAATCACTTATTAAGGATGTGAAAAAGCAGACGTCCCTGCAGAAGTTTTGAGTTGTCATGGTGTGAAAAGCACAGGTGTTTCTCATATTAATGATGGCTCTGATCTGTTCAAGTTTCCCAGTAAGCTGTGACAGTGAGCCAGCACGAACAGTACCAGGACCCTGAACTGAATCAGCTAAATGGAATTCAGCTGTTATTCAATCTATTATTTACATCTGTGCTCTTCTTGATTTTTATCTGCATCTGTTATTGAGGGGTCAACATATTTGTCCCATTTATGTCTCCTGGAAATTTACCATGTTGTTGGACTTGCAGTTTTTCTTTCTTTGCTTTTCATTGTTTAAGTCACTGTATGTGGAGCTCTCTCAGCCACAGTTTTTTACCCACATTTTTCACACATTCACTAGACACAACACACCGTGACGGCATACCTATGCATGTAGTAATTTTATTTACATTTGGTAAAAAAAACAAACACCATAAAAATATATCTTGCTTTCACATATATACATTTAAATGCATTTCTATGAACTATGTAGACAGGACAAATCTCAAGTACAGATGTGGCGACTGTATCATAGTGGCTAACCTTGAGATCTTTGATACAAGGCAGGACCTCTGAACACTACAAAGGACCAACTTCACACAGACTAAAGCTCCACAGAAGCTTATACATCAGAGGTGGTCTGGTTTCATCTTGGCAATTCTTCAATTCCTATTTGGAATCAGTTGTTTTTCCTGAACACCCATTAGGTAGATCTTACCAGTATTTGGCCCATAGTTAAAAAAAAATCTGAGATTTTAGGAATACATTCATAATATTCTGGGGTGAAACATCAGAATGTTGAGAGAATACAGTTGTAACTTTTAGAAAATGTCATAATAATTTATAGATGACTATCCTTAGGCCCCCTGAGGCAAATTTGTGATTTTGGACTACATAAGTAAAACAGAAAAAGTCATATTAGGAGAGTAATGTCTATTTATAGAAAAAAATATTAAAAGAGCTAAAATCAAAATATTATAAAGATTATAATTTAAAAAGTCATATAACATCAAAAAATAAAAACTGTAATACTGTAAAAGATCACTCAAATACCCAGGTCATCACATACAAACTCTTTGTCACGCCCTTCGGTGTCTCAAAGCGACACACTGGGAATCTTTTCGTATCTATGTGACTCACAGCTGAACCACATTGGAACACGTGGTGTTATATGGTCATAGTTAGGTTTAGGCAACAAAACTACTTGGTCAGGTTAAGATGAAAGATAATGTTTTGGGTTAAATTATGTATGTTTGTTACGTAACGTAACGTAATGTAATGTGAGGACTGTATGTAAATTGCGTTTGGTAATATTAAACCAACACTGACTTTTGGATTCACACGGGATGTAGACACAAAAGTGATTTAACGTTACATCAACACAACACTGCCTTTTGGATTCACATGGGGTATAGATATGACAGTTAACTTAACGTTATGTCAGCACAGCATTTACTTTTGGATTCACACTGGACACAACCTGTGGGTCTCCTGGATCTCCTTTATCGTCTCTACACCACTCATGTTGCTCGGAGCACTATGTATTGCTGCGGATAGGTTTACATCAGAGTTAGCTGATAGCCTGGTAAGTCATAAAGATGCTAAAGGGTGCCTTTGGCGTCAATACCACATGCTGAGGGACGTAACAAAGCAGTGGTATTTAATGCCCTGGGAGTTAGAGGGGGCTGAAAAATCATATAACAAGAATAAAAGCCATGATATAAGAATAAAATGTCTTAAGAAAATGACGTTGGAATTTCTAGAAAAGGTCACGTTACATCATTTTACGATAAAATAGGCATCCTGTTATGTGATGTCATTGTTTTCATCTCATTTATTGTCCTAAAACCTATAATGTCGTCACTGATGAAATCTATAACTTCAGCTCATCTGTATCCCTCATCTGACAGTAAAAGCTGACTGACTGTGTGACTACAGTAACAGCAGATGTAAGTATGTCAATAGTTTCACCACATTCTGACTTTATTGTTGAAATACTGACCTTTTTCTTGTAAAATTACAAATTTATTCCCCAACATTACTTTTTCGTCAAAAAAAAAAAAAAAAAAAAAAAAAATCCCAAACAATTCCCAAAATCTCAGCTTTTTTATTTATTTATTTTTTTTAAATTGGCCCAAATACTGGTAAGATCTGGCTCAGACTGAGGCGTGGGGTGCTTTAAGGTCACCATGGTCATTGGATCTGGAAGACCCCCTCACACTCTCATGACGTTAACACTGTGTGTGAGAGCAGGAGGAGTACAGGTACAGTAAGATGAAGCAGTCGATCAGGAGGATGGTGTAGAAGCATCTCTGTGTGTGCAAACTCCGACCTCTCTGGAAGCGAGTCAGTAACACGGCCAGCAGCAAAAAGAAGGTGGCGGTGTTCAGAAGGAGGAAGAGTCTTATGTAGGAGGCGGTGCTGGAGAGACCCTCGCTCCCTGCTGTGGCCACCATGTGAACCTCCTTGAATTTGCGGCCCTTGACAAAGGCCCCCTTCTTGTTTTTGCGGCCGTCTGTATAATCCACAAAGGCCCGCGTGTCTCCCTCTCCCTCCTCTGGACTGTCCTCATATGTACGCTTTGAAGTCCTCTGTCTCACCTTTTTCTCATTCGCCTCGATCTGTGCAAAAATGTCAGGTAGACTCTCTGAAAGCTTCTCCCCAAAGTTCATTTTCTTCCCCCCTTTACCCTTGCCCTGTTTCTTCGACATAGCAAACATCTTCTCTATGACCTCCTCCGTCTTCTTCTTGTCAGTGAACTGGAGGAGGCGCTCTGCAGTCTTGCGGAAGCTGGCAGTGTTTAGAACCCGTCCCAGTATGTGTCTCTCCATCTGCTGGAAGACGGGCTTGACATGCTGGAGGTTGTCCTCCATCACGTTGACTTATTCCTCTACTTCTTCAGGTGAGCTGTCCTCCACGGCCGCTGACTTCTCTAATACGATCTTCTTGTGGTCCAGCAGCACCATGGCGAACAGAGGCTTGCTGGTGACCTCTCCGGTCAGCAGGTAGATAGTGTAGGTGTGATCCTTGGTGGCCAGGTAGATATCCACTCTCTGGTCATCACCGCGCAGGCTGAAGCTCTGTACATCCACACCTGGTCCAAAGAAAATATAGGCCACCCTAGTGTGAGGATATCTCAATGGCATTGTGACGTTCACATAGTTGGAGCCATTATACGGGTACCCTCGAGGGTAATTCCAGTAACCTACCACTCCTTTGTTACTGTAGCCTGTGTCATCCATCCAGAACATCTTATATTTATCCTCACCATGTGATACAAATGCTCCATGAACGCCATCTACCTTTGTACTCTGGAATGGAAGTTCTGTGTTGTGAAAGAAGGCGCTCATGGCCCTGGTTGGGCTGTCTGGCTCCAGGTGGATGTGGTCCACAAGGAGCAGGAGCTGTGGGTGAAGAAGGAGCAGGTTTCTCTGGAAGCTCCTAATCTGTAGCTCTGGATTATAAGCGGAGTGTCCCTCGCCGCGGATGAAGACCATTCCCTGTCTCTCCATAGCAGCTTCGACTTTGCCCTGGGCATCAGCCGCCAGTCCAGCTTTGTACTTTAACCACTTGGAATCACAGGCTTCCGTAACCTGTCCAGCCCACGGCTTAAAGCAACTCCCTGAGAGTGCAGATCCAAACAACACTGCGTTGTTCAGCAAAGTGTACTTTGGTCCATACAGTGCCTCTGTGATGAATGGGACACCGTTGGGCGCGAAAGTGAAAGTGTTCTGATCAGGGTGCTCGTGACCAGCGTTAAAGTTCCTCCACCCTTTGATCCACTCTTTGTACTTGTTCATGTGGACGATATCAAAGATGGCGCGTCCTCCCAGCTTCCCCGACTTGAAGGAGAGAAAGGTGCGGTTGGTGTCAGCAGGTAAAGCGCTGCCGTACGTCACAACGCCCCAGTCCTCAAAGTAGTGGAGTTGGGATGTTCCAAAATCCGATGGAGGCTTGGAAATCAGTCCTGGGTCATACCTGCAGAACACCATGAGAGGACAGATGTCAGCTGGATAAAATACCAACATGGACATCAATCATACACAACCACTGATGGAAAGTCTTATCAGATTAAAGATTTTCCAGAAGTTATTTTGTGACAACATGTTGCAATTTTACATCTTTTAAACCCACTTTTTATTCAACCTGCCTCATTAACATGTATTATATTTATGTAATTCCCTATGTTTTCCCAGAATGCCTTTTGGCAACCCTAAAAAAAACCCAGCTTAGGCCTTGCTGCTTCACACTGTTTTCATGCTAAAGTAATGCACTAGGATTCATATATAAGCCATGTACTCATGAATGCTGCGATTATGTGATGAATGCGCTGACGGGATTAAAGACAAAAGTATAAAGAGCAAAACGCCGCCTAAGGAGGCAGGTTAGGGTGGTGTATGGGTCAAACAAATACACGACTTTTCTCCAGGAGACTGGTGTTCGTGTCCTGTGTAAAACCAAGTGAGTTCTTTGAGGTATGTTGTCATGACATCACATTACATTAAGTACATAACTTGACGTTTAGTATGTAACCTGACATATCCACAGCCGTGCGTAATGACAGCTGCTCTGGAACCTCACTGCTGTGACACAGGTTGTTTCTTAATCGTATTTGTCACTGACAGGTCTAATGAGTGGTGAAGTATCAACATGAAAACGTATGTTTAAGGGCGTTTCTACATCCTTTTATGGTGGACTGTGGGGAAGTGCGGACTCAGCGAAGTCACTGGCGGGCCAAGAAAAATTTCAGACACACCACTCCCTGTAGTGTCACAACATGTCGTGTTGTGAAATATAATCATTAGGTGCAGCCCTAGATTCAAATATCTTGACCATTATTGAAGACACATGGGAAGTATGTAAAAATGTAAGGTACTTTACCAGTAGATACAGTGGTTTTTGGGTGAATTTCCCCTTTAATAATAGCAAAACAAAAAAACACTGTGCTCATATATATTTCCTATTATTAAAACCAAATTCAGCAGCTTACCAGATGAACTCTGTGTGGAGAGTACACCATCGCTGTCCTTTTCCAGCCTGCCCCGGCCCCTCCGTCACCCTGTTTTGATGAATCAGTTCTGCCAGCCAGTTTCCACTGCCATTACGTAACACGTAACGGTCCATGAAGACCAGCTGGCTCTCCGGCCCATAGAACCAGTTGTAGTTGGAATCTGCAATGGCTACAGTCCGCTGAAATCCTGGTGACAGTGAAAACACAGAGAAGATGACTTCAGTGGTGGCCGTTCTTAAAGTTCTTAAACGTTCTTAAACAAAGAAATAATGGGTGAATATGACGAATAAAATGCTCATGTATTGACTCATGTTGAAGTTTGAATGGTGGATTCTTTATAAATTCTAACACAGTGCTATGACAGTGTATAAGGGCCATTGCAGATCAAAACAAATAAATACAGAGCCCAGGGAGGGGGTGATATGATGATGAAAGTTCAGAATTGTTGAGATTTAAGTCATAAATTTCAGATAAAAAGTCAGAAATTCTCTCCTATTATAAAGTTTGGAATTTGCGAGGCATGACTCAAAAATGATCTGAGATTAAAGTCACATATTTATAAGAAAAAGCTCAACAAAGTGTTTATTTTTCATCTAAACCCCCTCAGCATGAATCTCAGTCCCCTCTGCTGTGACCCAGCTCAGTACCAAACCAAGTGCAAAATGTTCACACTGTTTTGTTGTCTGTAATTATGTAGGGAAACCTTGCACTCTGGTGGTAAGAAGGCTTCTTAGAAACCAGCTATCGTAACTACAGCATGTAATCACAGTAAATCATTTGTCAACCGAAAAAAATCGTAAAACAAAAACTGCAACAGAAACACTCTGTCAAGTAAAGTCTCTTCACACTATCCCTGTGAGCATGGTTCCACAAGTGGCAAATTCTTTGAGATATTTATTATAAGAATTAAGGTAATGCTATTGAGGGTTAAGCATGGATTATTTGCAATGAAATGAACAGGGGTGCTAACATTCAGTACTGGCATGGAGCTACGATGTACATGTTTTTGCATTTGCTTTCTGTCAACTGAATGTCAACATACAAAGATGTGCAGTGAGAGGACAACAACCAAAACAACTGACACTTTCCATTCAGTGCTTATAATTTAACAGACCCATAACTCCTTCCAACTTGCATATCAACTAACATTTCAGTTCCTTTCAGTGCTCATCCACTATGTTACTACCACTCTCTTAGTATGGTTTATTTGGGCTCGTATGAAAGCAGTCAATCGAACCCTGGTGCATAAATACACACATCAGACGCATTAAACTGCTGCATAAACTTCTGTCAGTCACTGGAATACGAATAGTCCATCAGGACCTATTCCTGATGATGCAAGATGGCAATGGCCTGTCTGAACAATGTTTCAATCCTGTCAGATTGTAAAACTTAACATAATGTGTTTAGTCCTCTTGGTTTGTTCATTAAAAAGTCAGAGTGAACAGGAATGGACCAGAACTAAAAAGCAACAAAGTTCATTTTTTCACCCTTGGTTTGGACCAAAGGAACTGAACTACAGGTGTAAAAGCACTCTGAAGCTCCTTTCCCACTGGGCAGATAACCCACAAACACCCACTAACATCTGGCTTTTCTTTTGGAAATATTACACTATGCATTCATACTTGGGACAAATGACTACAGGAGTTACAGGTATTTATCAGCTCCAGCCCTTATCACTTCCAATCAGCAGTAATGGAAATACAACACCTGGGTGCACATGCTACTTCTCACTCCTTATGCAGTGCAATGACGTCTCCTTCCAAGCAGCGCTCGACAATCATTCAAAATTAGTCAGAAAAGATCTACATAATCAGCACTGTTTTCAAGGTGGACACCCTAGATTAGTGTCACCAATTCAGTATCTGAACAAATGTCTCCTCCTCTGTTCATAAGTTATGATGTTGTCTAATGGCCAGTGAAGTGGTTTTGCAGAAGATTACAATGTCGAAGTGAAGCTGACCTTTGACCTTTTGGATATAAAATGTCATCACTTCATCATTTGATCCTATTGGACCATTGTGGGAACTTTTGTCATACTAAGCGTATGAATTCTTAAATTATGGCCAAACACATGTTGTGTGAGGTCACAGTCACTTTTAACCTTTGACCACCAAACTCCCAACAGTTCATTCTTGACTCAAAGTGGATGTTTGCACCAAATTTGAAAAAATGCTCTCATGTTGTTCTTGAGATATTCCATTCACAAGAATGAGACGGATGCAAGGTCATGGTAACCTTGACCTTTGACCATCAAAATCTAATCAGCTCCTCCTTGATTCCAAAAAGTCTGTTCTTGAGATATGGTGTTCACAAGAATAGGACAGATGGACATTTTTAGCAGGTTTTTCTCCATTTAATAAACCTGTATATATATGCTAATTCTGGTGGAAAATTCCTATTACTGCCATTTGCTACTTAACTTAGTAGGTGATTACACTTAAACCCCTTTTAGTGCTTACAAGTCAACTGACATTGTAACTGACACAAATGCTCCAATTGGCATTCTGACATCTTTATCTCTTAGACTCCAAGTGACGCTTCCACTGCTTTCACTCGAACTCACAGTGACTTTTTGGAGCGCTTCCACAGAAATGTCCAACTCCTTTGATCACTCACATCTGTTAGGGAACACACAAGCATCCTCACACACGAGAAGAGACCATTCCTCCTGACATTTCTCTCAGCACACTCATGTTGCCATTGTGACTGTGGATCCAAGGCTCTCCTGGCTGATATAATTAGAGGTTCTTTCTGAGTGCAGCAGTGCTGCTCAGCCACAATACAGAAACGGTTAGCAGGGGGCTGTGAAATTTCCGAGCCTGACCTAGGGGCCCCTCCTCCGCTGCTGCCCTCCCCCTGACCTTCAGACGAAACTTCCAGGACACCACATTTCCCTGCAGGTCTCAGCTCAGCTTTGAAAGGCATCCAGGAAGGTAATAACTACACGCATGCATACCCCATATCAGCTCAGAGGAGAGACTACTCTCTGATGTGGCAGCCTGAGGTTATTTTCACATCTGATCTAACATATTTAACGTTTTGGAGAGAGCACTCTCGTAAGGACTAACTGGATGTGTCAGCCATTCATAGCTATGTAAACCCTTACTTACGGATTGTTGACCTGCTTTGTATTTGGCTACCTTAATGTATCTACTGCAGTGAAAAGTGTGCCACATCAATTTTCAGCTTTTGAAAAAGTAAATAAGTATAGTCGCCACAGCAGGTAGAGTGACAGTTACCAGGCAGGATAGTCCTGTACAGGAAGGCGAAGTGTTTGAGGAGCCAGGGGTGATCGAAGTGGCTGATGCTAAAGTGGCGCTGCACCAGGAACATGTACTGGAATAGAGAGCGGGTGGTGTAAGTCCCGTAGGCTACTCCTTCATACAGGGAACCATCCGTCACATCGCGCAGAAGGACCATTGACTTCTCCATGATAGACAGGGCCTGCTTTGTCCACAGGTAGGCCTCCTGGAGGTAACCTGTAACACAGGAAGTTGAGATGGTTTCACAGGTTAAATACAATCTAAGATCCCCTCTTTCTCAAATGCTCAAAGGGTTTCACCAAACATGCAATGCTGAAGACCTTTTTCCAAAACACGCTGTAGTGTTGTCAGTCCATTTCAATGTGATATGAAAATAAAGCTGCAGAGAGCAGTATAGATGCTAATATAACATCAAGTACAAACAGATTAATATCTTCAAATAAATTACCAAAGCATGGGTAAACCATAGCCATAAATCCCACTGTTTGAAAGTAAAATGCTTGAAGTGCATCTTTAGTGCCTTCTGATGGCAGATTCATGACATATTTTACACAGTAATTCAAGGTCCACGGTCGCACATAATTTGGCCCGGACAGATCTTTGGTAACCTTGTGGAAAAAATGTTGAAAATGATTGCCTAACAGTTGTCATGACTGTAGAAAGGATTTCAAAATCTTTTCAGTGGCTGTTGTATACAGAGTAAATGTACAATATCTCAAACACATCAGACTTTAAATCTAAAAAAATACCTAGAAGTGTGACATTTTCTCAGAATTTCCCCTTAAAGTTAAGAATAGGTCCTAGTAAAGATAAAAGTTATTCACAAAGCATCTTAGACCTTGAAAGAGCTCCTAAGGTGAAAATCTGTTAGGAGCAGGGAGGAGGACTTTTAAGAGGGTTTAAGAGAGTTTCTCAAGCAGAGGAGAAAATGGGAGGGAAACAAAGAGGTGGTAGAAATATTCTCCGAACACTGCATGACAGCGAGTTAATGAAATGCTACAGATTAGATCATGCAAGGACAATGTTTGTGGTCGATTTAATTGGAGATGCAGGGGGACAAAAGTTCTGCAGTCCACACAGTTATGGTCATCGTTAAATTTGCACCAAATTTGGCAGAAAAGCTCTAAGTTTGTGTGAGTAAGTATGAGTTACACTGGTCCAGCTTTGGTCAGTTATGATTGGGCAATGTCTGACAATGGCGTCAACTAACGGCCCAACCCTCCTATCAATGGTAAAATGCTTTTTATAGAGTGATCCATGTACCAAATTTGGTAAGGACTGGGACAAAGTTGTATATGGTGATAAGCCAAATTTGAGAAAAACAGAAAATCGAGTTAGGTACAAATGCTCATGGCCAGTAGCAATAGGATATGGCAATACCCAAGGAATCCATTGAAAATAGCATCTCACGTCTATGACTTAGATTTCTTGAAGTATTAGCAACAACATACAGAGGGCTATTGCTAGCTACATGGTGGCACCAGTTATCTCACTTTTGAATAAGAGAAGCAGATAGCCTAACCAGTGAGACCATTTAACCTAAGTACGATTGCATCAACATGCTTTAAAAATGGCTAGCAGCATATTATATCTGTACTTTGTAGCATGGGCTAAATTGGACAATGTTGCACATGGCTGTTCCTAATGTCAGCAAGAGGTTAACTGCTTGAGAGCTTCAGCTATCTCTATGTGCATATCTTGGACTAAAGCTACAGGAAACAGCAGAAAGAGGGGAAATGCCCACAACAATTTAAGGTCAGATATCTTTAGACAGAACTCTCTACTGTTTCTGTTTCTGTTCATACGATTCATGATTTATGATCTACTCTCTTCAAGACAAATAAAAGCCAATGCTGGAGTGGAGAATTACATTTCTGGCACAAAGGGGAAGCACATTGTTTTCATATGGATACATTCAATCTGAAGTAAGCAAGCTGTTTTCACATTAAGAAATATATTCTCACTAAAAACCTCATCAAAAGTGCCCTGGCCTACAAGTATTCTACAACATACCTGGCCAATAATAGACTTTTTTGTACAAAACTGGAGAGCAGTAATCCTCTTTGCAAGCAGGGGCCATGAAAAGTGCTCCACTTACTGAGAGGGACTTAAAAGGAGAGATCCTGAATTACAAAGTGACTATAGCCCTGCGATTTATAGTATACCCGCGTGTGTGTTATGTCATAAATGGAATTTATGAAAAACAGCATTGCAGCCAACAACGTCTCCTTAGTCTGTTACCTAAAGAAACCTTCCACACACATTTCACTGTGGCTATGGAAAGCATGACACCACTATGGCACACTACACCATGTATACGCTCTCTCACACACACACACTGGATCACACACATAGACTTTACTATGAGAACAAGCGACCACATAAACACTCCAGCCACAGTTCATTGAGGAATCCCGAGGCCATCGGCGGTAACCGGCCTGCACCCGCCCAGTATGCCGAGTACGCCCACTGGAGTCGTCCCCAACAGTGTTTGGTTTGGGCTTGGGGACCGCTGGCCTACACAGAGCAGGTATTTACCATCAAACAGGAACTCTTGGCACGTACAAAGACCATATTTACACAAACAGAGCTTCACCAGCGCTCGCACAGTCCAGGGCCACACTTCATAGCAGCTCAGGCTTTGAGTCTCATCAGTTCTTTCCTCAAAAGTAAAGACATCATAAAAATTAAATTCTTATAATTTCTTTAAAAATACACACAATCTGTCAATGCCTTGGACTACCATAGCCCTAGAAATGCTCAACAGTCTGGTTAAAATTAATTAAATCTCTTATTTATTTAAAGTTACATTCATTATTTTTCTTTTGGCCACTTGAGGGCAAAAGAACAATTTGAAAATATAAGTTGTGTGTGTCTTACAAAGTTTTGGATTCTGTTTTTGGCTACCATTAGAAAACAGCAATGTTGGGGAAGCTACTTTAAAACTGTCCCTTTAGCTAGTTAATCTATGAGCTACTCTTCATTTTAAGCTACATTACAGTATCATCAATTTCAGAGTCCTAGCCACATTACAAATTCAAGTTTAATACTCTCCTTTCAGCTTGTTTCAGTCTTCAACAACCACAAAATGTCTGCTTTTTCAGTTTGCTAAATGTTGGGCTTTGCCAGCTAGCTGCTAACAGCGAGTTCATCTGACCTTTTTTTTGTTGCTCAACACAGCTGCTTTGCATTTCTGCACACAAGGTGGATACAGACAGAATAACAAAAAAAAAAAAAAAGAGAACAAAACAATAAGCTAAAAGAGGCTAAAAAGACGATTTTTAAATTCTGGGCCGATACTGATGTTTAAAATGACAATTTGGCCGATAGCTGATACCCACACTGATGTTTTTTTTATTGTTGTTTATTTTCTTTTGTTGTATTTTACCCCCCCTTTTTTGCCAGGGAAACAAAGAAATCTATATTATTAAAAAAAAAACGTAACTGTTTTAAAGTAATTAAGCTCTTCACTACACTGTCTGTCTGAATGAGCACAAAATTAATCATACAAGTTTATGAAACAGCCTTTAATATAAACTTTGCTTCAAATGCCTTATTATTAGTTTCTCTCTCTACATTTTACAAGATTACATTGAACACATCACGAAAATGTTATAATTTACTTGCTCAGTACTCATTTTTACTGTATACAGCTTGAACGCATCATAATGTAACTCAATTCAACCTCCTTGAGTTGTTAGTTGCAGCCACTGGCTGCTTAGAGCTAATGTTAACTAGCTCTCCTAATTTTAACACAGATTTGTGGTTCACAGTGTAGCATTATCAGGGTAACAATAGGGTGCGTCCTCTGATGTGACAATAGTAGGTTTACTGTGTCCTTTCATCACAAAGATGTCCCAGGACCTGGGGAAGATCTCTGTTTACCCCAAATGCTTTTTACTTTTTGCTACTTGCCATCTCATCACACAACAGTGAGATCACAGCGCCCACTTGTCCAACAGTCAGTTTATTCTTCTTTTACCTCATCTTATTTGCCAATAGGCCAATGACAGTCAACAAGGTGAATATTGTCTGCCACTGATGTTCAGCCAATAAATCGGTGCACCCCTACAAAAAAAGCTACACAGAGCTGATGAAATTCATTTAATTTTATTTCTCTGTGGGTTTCCTTTGTGGAGCTTTTAAAATCAGTTTTTCTCTTCTATTGCCAGCTTTTAAAAATAGTATAACCACAACTCAACACAACACCCTGTGTAAAGTAGAGATTTCAGCCTTCGCCACGTAGACAATGATGCATTTAAGATTTTCAGCAAAAACATAAGCAGCTTGTCAGTAAAAACATATATAAAATTCATAAAAAACAGAAGAGAAACTGGCCAGTTAGCAGGAATTATGACACTCACCATAACTGAACAAAGAAAAAGGAAGTACTATGTACTGAAACTCTAACGTCATCAACACAAAATCCTAGGAAAACCATGACACAGTCCTTGACGTGCAATTACACCATAGCAATTACTGCAATACCAAAGACGTCATCAAAAAATAAGAAATAAAAAAAAAAGAGAATCATCCTGTGAACCCACATTAAAAGGAAAACACATACCAGACAAACGACATCACATGCACATCGTGTACAGTGACTCTCTGGGTTCAGCTCTAATTTCCCCTGTTTTCCCACAGTCTAATAATGGGGCTAGTTTGCCTAATGACTAGCAGAGGGGATAATGCTGCTGTCAGGCTGAGGGCTTAGGTCTGACTGTCTCCCATGCTGTTAGCCAGGGTGCTGGTTCTGGGCACCCAGATCCCTCACTCAGCACACATTATGTCCAGAGGAATGTGAAAGGTCAACAGATTTATTTCCAACAATGCTCTTTAACTTACTCTCTGCTCCTTCAGTGTGTCTGCACATCAGAACATCACACACAGTTAGCAGGGTACAATAGAAAAGGATTAAGGAGCTGGTAATTTTTTTTGTAATCTATTTTACATTAGGGGCAGGACAGAGTCAGTAATGAAATACAATATTTCCCACAGTCAATTGTGGGGGATTTGCATTCATGTGAGGTATTACAGGTACGCAGTCTTGCTTTAAACTGCAAGCAGTAACAGAGGAAATGAATGGAGCCAAGAGTTTTTAAGGAAGCAATGTTGAGAGTGTAGCTATTAAAGCTAAATGCCACTCCTCACTGAAAGGAACAACACTACACTTCTGCTCTCTGGCTGTCCTCTTGATCTTATTTCCACCACTTGTT